ATGACCTTGGGATACACTACCCCCTCCCCCCTCTCCTCCGACACGCCCATTTTAACCTCAGCTGACGTAGTGAAGGGCAGGGGGAGGAGAGGGGACGGGAGGGGGGGTAGATAGGGGCATGGAGGAGGGGGGGTTGGGAGCCTGAAGGGGGGGGGGTGAAGAAGTATGGACTACGACCTATATAAGAATTCCTGCTTCAGAGTAAGGTAAGGGCAAGGAAGCCTTTGTACTTCTAGGTCTATCATGTTAAAGTAATGAGCGATTTGCTGAAACGTGTGTGTGTTTGGCATACGCACACACACACACACACACGCATACACACACACACACACACACACACACACACACACACACACACACCAACACACACAAACACACGCACAAACACACACAAACACACACAAACATGCAGACACACACACACATATATATGTATGTGCGTCTGTGTATGTGTGTGTGTGTGTAATTTGTAAGAGTAATAGTAATAAAGATAAAGATGCTACTACTCTTGTGACTACTACTATTAATACCCCAACTAATGCCACTATGATAGTAGTGATATTAGTCATAATGATAGCAATAATGATAAAAAAAGATAGTAATGAAAAAAAAAATATAATAATGCTAATGATGATAATAATGATAGTAATAACAATATCAATATTGATAAGGAGAAGAAGAAAAAATACGATGATTCATATAACTATCATCATTATAATAAAGAATGATAAACAAAGGATGATGATGTAGATGATAAAAATGATAATGAAAAAACTGATACTGATGACAGTGATAAGCATAATCACTAGAAAAAAGAAGCAGGAGAAGAAGAAGACGAAGAAGACGAAGAAGACGAAGAAGAAGAAGAAGAAGAAGAAGAAGAAGAAGAAGAAGAAGAAGAAGAAGAAGAAGAAGACGAAGAAGAAGAAGAAGAAGAAAACACATATACATATATATAAAACAACCAAACAAACTGGCTGACCGACCGAAGGAGAGAGACGGAGACGAAGAAGACGAAGAAGAAGAAGAAGAAGAAGAAGACGATGAAGAAGAAGAAGAAGAAGAAGAAGAAGAAGAAGAAGAAGAAGAAAACACATATATACATTGTAAAGGGTTTCTGTTTAGTGATGGTTTCACTAAATCGTGTTGAGCATTATTGTATTTGTTGTGCGTATGTGTGCGCGTATACGGTGTGTGTGTGAGGTCTAAGTGTGCCTTTGGTTCGCCTCCACCGTTCGGATGACAGTTTCGAACCAACTAAAGCCTCATGTCAACCCTCGTCGGTGGTTGCCATTCTATGGTTTGCCACTCTACTCCGAGCTCCACACCTGAACACTTTGTAAGTGTTTCTATTTATTTTTGTATATCTTGTGTACATATATATTCAACAAGTGGTGAATGGTGATGACTAAAAAAGTGAAGTGTTGTGAAGTGATCTGGAAATTAAATGGACTATTATAACGCAACCATTTATTGCAGCCTCTTTAATTTGGGCCGAGCAGCCGATAGCTGCAGCCATCTCTACCAGTGGCTCCTGTACAATTCTACCTCAGGTGCATGACTGTCTTGGCTGGGATACTACTTCAACCCAACTCTTCACTGACGGATTCCTAAGATCTGCTGTATACATTTCTGTGTATTATGTACATTTGGTGTAATATATGATTATGAAAATACTGCATTGTATTTTATAAACCCGAGATGATCTATATCCCAGAGGATACCCCAAAATAAGAACCAAAGGTTTATTGCAAACAATATCAAAGCAAAGAAACCACGGACAATCTGGCGCAGTGAGTAGGATCCTCTTATAGATTACTCGGGGCTCGTATATTTGTATGTACTTAATTTTTTTTCTTTCTCTTATGATCACAGAATGTAATGTGGAACCCGGAGGAGTGGCCAACCATAGAATGGTGATTCGGAGAACCAAATGGAGGAATGGTGTTCTGGATATTTTTTGGTGAAGGAGTGTGACGACTTGCGCTGCGAGTTGTATGTTAATACGTAATATTGCGTCATACGCGATCAGGTTAAGAGTCGATCTAGTCCGATCGTGCCTCCTTTTCACCGGTTACCGACGTGCATCGTCGCGAGTGTTCAGTGGTTAGGTGATTCTATTTTACCTCGCTGTATACAGGGAGATCAGTCAGTAACGACTGTGGTGTACCCCTGTGGTTGTTAAATAACTGTTTGTTTTTATCTTAACCGTGATGGCTTGTACTCTGTACTCTTGTGCGTAAGCCTACCATTGCTGTTAACGATGTTTTCGCGCTAAGTCAGACTAGCCGTTGTTGTGCGATAGCCTGTGCGCCGTTTTCTTTTGACTGTTTCGCTTGCATAAAGTCAATTTGAAACAGAATTTGAATTCTAAGTGTGCTTAGATATTTTGTACTTATTTACAATCAATGTTCCTGTTTTAGAATTATTGATTTACGGAATTTTGATAGCGTGATTTACACGTTCATCTCTTTTGTCAATCGAATTTACATTCGTTTAATTGATTCTTTTTAATTTTAAACATGTCGCTAAACTTAGTAGAACTCGTTAAGTGTGCTAAGGAAGCCGGTCTTTCTGCCGCAGACATAAATGCTTTGGTTTTGAAGGAGGAAGTAAGATACAAAGAGCAAAACGAAAGAGAGGAAAAGCAAAGAGAACGAGAAGAGAGACAGAAAGAGCGAGATCTGAAACGCGAAGAGTTAGAGGTTCAGGAGAGGGAAAGACAGCGCGAATATGAAGCGAACGAGGCTGATAAGCAGCGCGCTCACGAGTTGGCCCTTGCTCGCGTACGACCCGAGAACCCTTCGCTAAATGACAGTCGCGATCATTACCCAAAATTAAGAATGCCTAACTTCACCGATGGTAATGACGACATTGATGATTTTTTACGTAGGTTTGAGAAATTAGCAGGTTTGCAAGGATGGGATTCTAATGACTACCATGTTTACCTCGGTTCACTCTTGGGAGGTAAGGCCTTGCAAATTTACGTAAGCTTGCCAGACGATGTCTTGAAAGATTATAGACAATTAAAAGATGCATTGTTGAAGGCATATAACGTTGACGCAGATTCCTATCGTAAAAAGTTCAAAGAAAGTAAGGCGGGTGAAGACGAAACTTACGTTCAGTTAATTACGAGAATGACCCAGTATTTAGATCACTGGTTAATAATGAGTGATGTGGAGAGGGAGTATAACTCGTTGTTCGACTTTTTGATACGCGACCAGCTGTTGAGTAACTGCCCTCTTGACCTTCGCATCTTTCTCAAAGAACGAACGTTCGTTAGCACAGTGGAAATGGCCCAAGCAGCGGATAGGTTTCGTTGCGCCCATAGAGCTGTCAAGAGTCGTAAAACGCCTGTTAAAGACGACGCTGCTTTCAAGAAAGACCCGAATGTTTCCCTTAAGGATGTGATTTGTCACCATTGTTCTAAGGCGGGTCACATACGTCCTTCTTGTCCCGAACTTAAATTCTCGAAATCTAAGACTTTTCAGACAGTAAATGCTGCATTTGAGGCTGACATAAATTACGATCAGGGTATTACGTGTGAAGGATCGTTGTATGGCAAGCCGGTAAATGTACTTTTTGATTCAGGTTGCTCGTCAATTATAGTGAAGGAATCGCTCGTGCCCGCCTCCGTCAAGCGAGGAAAGGTAGTTACACTATATGACTACCTGGGGGAGCGGCGCGAATTCCCCACCGCACGTTGTTTGATTAGGAGTAAATTCCTGAATGGATGGTTTAACGTCGTGGTCGCTCCGATAAAATTCACGGATATCCTCGTCGGTATAGTGCCGGGTGTCAAGGTGTCGAGCGTGAACATACCGGGTATAAAAGTAACCGAAACTCCTCAGAGGAGCGATGTTAATGCTGTCGCGACGCGGGCCGCCAAAGCGAAGGAAAATGTCGGTCCGGATAAATTAATTGTTCCTAATTTCAAATTTGAGAACGTATCGAAACAAGATTTCATAGATGCTCAGTCTTCCTGCCCTTCTCTAGAACACATTCGTTCTAAAGAATTAAGTAAAGCCATTGTAACTGTAAAAAGTCGCTCGGTAAAGTTCGAACGCGTGAATGGGTTGATCTACCGAATTTGCGTAAAGAGTAAACACGAACACGAAGTCGGTGAGAAGCAATTGGTTGTGCCTCGTAGGTTTATTCCTATAATTTTATCTATGGCTCACGATTCCCCATTGGCGGGTCATTTCTCTCATCGAAAGACTGCAGGAAAAATCTTCCACAAATTCTTTTGGCCAGGAGCAGGCGCAGAGATCAAACGTTACTGTCGCTCTTGTCATGCTTGCCAGAAAACCGTTCCTAAGGGAAAGATCAGAAAGGCGCCTATGGTTCAGATGCCAATCATTAGCGAACCGTTTTCCCGAGTGGCGATTGATATCGTCGGGCCGATCTCCCCGCCCTCTAGCCGAGGCCACAAGTACATGCTGACCTTGATTGACATGGCCACCCGATTTCCTGAGGCAGTTCCACTGAGAAATATAGATTCGGTAACTGTTGCTGAAGCGTTGTTAACTATTTTCGCTCGCGTGGGAATACCGAAAGAGATTCTTTCTAATCGTGGTACTCAGTTTAATTCCGATTTGATAGCAGAGATCAACCGACTGCTTTCTATTAAAGCATTATACACTAGTCCGTATCACGTTTGTTGTAATGACACCGTCGAACGGTTTCACGCAGTACTAAAAGCTATGCTGAAAAAGCTCTGCAACGAGCGACCTCATGACTGGGATCGTTATATCCCATCTGTCTTGTTTGCGCATCGGGAGATTCCCCACGATACGCTTAAATTTAGTCCATTCGAGTTACTGTACGGCCGTAAAGTACGTGGCCCTTTATCCATTTTACATAATTTGCGGACTAAAGATGATATTGATGAAGTTAAAAGTACCTATCAATATGTATTAGATCTACGATCTAGATTAGAACAATCGGCTCAATTGACATCCGCTCACGCAGACGTGAACAGCCAAATGTATAAGACCTAA